GTGTCCATGGATCTCCTGGGGTGACCGGGCTGGGTTGGTGACTCCAGGTCACCCTCGATGACCCTGGAGGTGTCCATGGATCTCCTGGGGTGACCAGGCTGGGTTGGTGACTCCAGATCACACTCAATGACCTCAGAGGTCTCCATGGATCTCCTGGGGTGACCGGGCTGGGTTGGTGACTCCAGATCACCCTCAATGACCCTGGAGGTGACCCGGGCCGCTGTGGCCGAGCCGCCGGGGCGGGTGGAGGTGGGCGCGGGTGGACCCTGGAGAAGTTCTCGGGGTCTCCAAGGCGTGCCGTCCCGCAGCTGAAGGCCGTGCACGAGCAGCTGGCGGCGCTGTCCCAGCCCCAGCAGAACAAACCAAAGAAGAAGGAGAAGGACAAGAAGGAGAAGAAGAAGGAGAAGCACAAAAAGAAGGAGGAGCTGGACGAGGCCAAGAAGAGCAAGGCCAAGGAGCCGCCGCCCAAGAAGGCCAAGAAGAGCAACAGCAGCAGCAGCAGCAGCGCCTCCAGGTGCGCCTCCCCTCCCCCGCCTCGTTAGGGTAATTAGCGGGCTCCTTAACGAGGAACCGCCTGCTCCTCGCTGGAGCCCAGCTCGGTCTGGGGCCGGTTCTTCTCCGTGGCTGCGGGGACGCGCGGTGGGCGGGGGGCCGGGATTTGGGTGCCCAGGGGTGAGTTAGGCTGGGCTTGGGGTGCCCAGGGGTGAGTTAGGCTGGGCTTTGGGTGCCCAGGGGCGAGTTAGGCTGGGCTTGGGGTGCCCAGGGGGGAGTTAAGCTCAGCTTTGGGTGCCCAGGGGGGAGTTAGGCTGGGCTTTGGGTGCCCAGGGGGGAGTTAGGCTGGGCTTTGGGTGCCCAGGGGTGAGTTAGGCTGGGCTTTGGGTGCCCAGGGGCGAGTTAAGCTGGGCTTGGAGTGCCCAGGGGTGAGTTAGGCTGGGCTTTGGGTGCCCAGGGGGGAGTTAGGCTGGGCTTGGGGTGCCCAGGGGGGAGTTAAGCTCAGCTTTGGGTGCCCAGGGGGGAGTTAGGCTGGGCTTGGGGTGCCCAGGGGCGAGTTAAGCTGGGCTTTGGGTGCCCAGGGGGGAGTTAGGCTGGGCTTTGGGTGCCCAGGGGGGAGTTAGGCTGGGCTTTGGGTGCCCAGGGGTGAGTTAGTCTGGGCTTTGGGTGCCCAGGGGTGAGTTAGTCTGGGCTTTGGGTGCCCAGGGGCGAGTTAAGCTGGGCTTGGGGTGCCCAGGGGCGAGTTAGTCTGGGCTTTGGGTGCCCAGGGGTGAGTTAAGCTCAGCTTCGGGTGCCCAAATCCTGCCTGAGCTCAGGTTTGGGTTTAGGCCTAAACCACCATCTTTTGTTGCTGTGAGCATCAAGAAGGAGCCGGTGGTTGTGAAGTTCTCCAGATCCTGTGAGTTAGGACGAGTTTAGGTTTGGTTTAGAGCTGGTTTAGGCTGGGTTTAGGTCAGGTTTAGGCTGGGTTTAGGCTGGGTTTAGACCTAAAGCACCCTTTCTGTCGCCGTGAGCAGCAAGAAGGAGCTGGTGGCACTCAGGTCCTCCAGATGCTCTGAGTTAGGACCAGTTTAGGTTGAATTTAGGTTGGGTTTAGAGCTGGGTTTAGATCAGGTTTAGGTTGGGTTTAGGTTGGGTTTAGGCCTAAACCTCCCTTGCCGTCGCCGTGAGCAGCAAGAAGGAGCCGGTGGTAGTGAAGTTCTCCAGGTCCTGTGAGTTAGAACCAGTTTAGGTTGGGTTTAGAGCTGGTTTAGGCTGGGTTTAGAGCTGGTTTAGGCTGGGTTTAGAGCTGGTTTAGGCTGGGTTTAGAGCTGGTTTAGGCTGGGTTTAGAGCAGGGTTAGGTTGGGTTTAGAGGTGGTTTAGACCTAAACCTCCCTTCCTGTCGCCGTGAGCAGCAAGAAGGAGCCGGTGGTAGTGAAGTTCTCAAGATCCTCTGAGTTAGGACCAGTTTAAGTTGAATTTAGGTTGGGTATAGAGCTGGGTTTAGATCAGGTTTAGAGCTGGGTTTAGGCCGGGTTTAGACCTAAACCTCCCTTCCCGCCACCGTGAGCAGCAAGAAGGAGCCGGTGGTAGTGAAGTTCTCCAGGTCCTGTGAGTTAGAACCAGTTTAGGCTGGGTTTAGTAGGTTGGGTTTAGGCTGGGTTTAGGTCAGGTTTAGAGCTGGTTTAGGTCGGGTTTAGGCCAGGTTTAGACCTAAACCTCCCTTCCTGCCGCCGTGAGCAGCAAGAAGGAGCCGGTGGCACTCAGGTCCTCCAGATGCTCTGAGTTAGGACTAGTCTAGGTTGAATTTAGGTTGGGTTTAGAGCTGGTTTAGGTCGGGTTTTGGCTAGGTTTAGGTTGGGTTTAGGTCGGGTTTAGGCTGGTTTAGGCCGGGTTTAGACCTAAACCTCCCTTCCTGCCGCCGTGAGCAGCAAGAAGGAGCCGGCGCCGGTGAAGCCCAGCAAAGCCGCGCCCGCCTACGAGTCGGAGGAGGAGGAGAAGTGCAAGCCCATGTCCTACGAGGAGAAGCGGCAGCTGAGCCTGGACATCAACAAACTGCCCGGCGAGAAGCTTGGGCGCGTGGTGCACATCATCCAGTCCCGCGAGCCCTCGCTCAAGAACTCCAACCCCGACGAGATCGAGATCGACTTCGAGACGCTGAAGCCGTCGACGCTGCGCGAGCTCGAGCGCTACGTCACCTCCTGCCTGCGCAAGAAGAGGAAAGCCCCAGGTACTCCCGGATCCCGGCGTTCCGGCGCCGCCGGCCGCCTTGCCCGGCGGTTGTTCTGCCGGGGTTTGGGTGTTTTGGGGAGGTTTTGGAGGCGGCTTCGCCTCGCCCAGATGGCGGCGGGTGGGATTCAAAATGGCGGCCGCTGCAGGCCCCGCTTTGTAATAATTAAAGATTTTCTTTTGAAGTTTCAATATTTTGGATTATTGAGTGCACGTTTGCAGCAAACCAGTTGGGATGAACCAGTTGGGTTTAGGACCAACCAGTTGGGTTTAGGATCAGCCAGTTGGGATGAACCAGTTGGGTTTAGGATCAACCAGTTGGGTTTAGGATCAACCAGTTGAGTTTAGGATCAACCAGTTGGGATGAACCAGTTGGGTTTAGGATCAACCAGTTGAGTTTAGGATCAGCCAGTTGGGATGAACCAGTTTAGGATCAGCCAGTTGGGATGAACCAGTTGGGTTTAGGACCAACCAGTTGGGTTTAGGATCAGCCAGTTGGGATGAACCAGTTGGGTTTAGGATCAACCAGTTGAGTTTAGGATCAGCCAGTTGGGATGAACCAGTTTAGGATCAGCCTGTTGGGATGAACCAGTTGGGTTTAGGATCAGCCAGTGGAGATGAACCAGTTGGGATTAGGATCAGCCAGTTGGGATGAACCAGTTGGGTTTAGGATCAACCAGTTGAGTTTAGGATCAGCCAGTTGGGATGAACCAGTTGGGATGAACCAGTTGGGTTTAGGACCAACCAGTTGGGATGAACCAGTTGGGTTTAGGATCAACCAGTTGGGATGAACCAGTTGGGTTTAGGACCAACCAGTTGGCTTCAGATGCAACTGGTTAAGTTTGAGATGAACCAGTTGAGTTTGGGCTCAACCAGTTGGGTTTAGGATCAGCCAGTTGGGATGAACCAGGCAGGTTTAGGATCAACCAGTTGAGTTTGGGACTGACCAGTTGAGTTTGAACCAGTTGAGACAAACCATTGGGTTTAGAACCAACCAGTTGAGTTTAGGATGAGTCAGTTGAGTTTAGGACTAACCAGTTGGCTTCAGAACCAACCAGTTCAGTTTGGGATGACCCAGTTGAGTTTGTGATCAACCACTTGAGTTTAGAACCAACTGGTTGAATTCGGGATGACCAAATTGAGTTCAGAACCAACCAGTTGGGTTTAGAATGAACCAGTTGAGTTCAGAGCTAACTGGTTGAGTTCAGGATGACCCAGATGAATTTAGAACCAACTAGTTGAGGTCAGGATGACCCAGCTGAGTTTAGATCCAACCAGTTGAATTCTGGATGACCCAGTTGAATTTAGAATTAACTGGTTGAGTTTGGGATCAACCAATTGAGTTCAGAACCAACCAGTTGGGTTTAGAATGAACCAGTTGAGTTCAGAACCAACCAGTCGGGTTTAGAACCAACTGGTTGAGTTCAGAACCAACTGGTTGTGTTTAGAATGAACCGGTTCTGTTCACAACCAAGTGGTTGGGTTCAGGATGACCCAGTTGAGTTCAGAACCAACCGGTTGGGTTTAGAACCAACCAGCTGAGTTCAGAATGAACCGGTTGAGTTCAGAACAAACCGGTTGGGTTTAGAATGAACCAGTTGAGTTCAGAACCAACCAGCTGAGTTCAGAATGAACCGGTTGGGTTTAGAATGACCGGGTTGAGTTCAGAACGAACCGGTTGGGTTTAGAATGACCCGGTTAAATTCAGAATGAACCGGTTGGGTTTAGAATGACCCGGTTGAAGTCAGGATGACCCAGTTGAGTTCAGAACCAAGCGGTTGAGTTCAGAACGAACCGGTTGAGTTCAGGATGACCCAGCTGGCATGCCCTGGTTGACTTGAGGCCAAAGCCGTGGGGTTGAGGCGGTCGATCCCCGGTGAGGCCCCGCGGTGACGCCCTCCCGTTGTTCCCGGCAGAGAAGCTCGACGTCCTGGCCGGCTCCTCCAAGCTCAAGGGATTCTCCTCGTCGGAGTCGGAATCCAGCAGCGAGTCGAGCTCTTCCGACAGCGACGAGTCGGACTCAGGTTAGCGCTTCCCGCCTTTCCCGACCTTTTCCGGACAAATAAACTCGATTTCATTCCTGCCTTCGCCGTCCATTCTTCTTTGGGGGAGCCTTTGCAATTTCCTGGCCAGCATTCCGTGATTTTTTAAAGTTTTTTTCCTGGTTTTTTGTAATAATCCTGCGGCGAGCGCCGGGGCAGGGTTGGGTGGGGTCGGGGTCGGGTTTTGGGCTTTTTTTTGGGAAAATGGGAATTACGGTGGAGCCGTCGGGAACGTCGTGTGGAGATGGAGGGGTGGGGTTTTGTGGAGAAAAAGATGGAAAAAATGGGGTTTTATGGAAAAAATGGGGTTTTGTGGAGAAAAAAAGATGGAAAAATGGGATTTTATGGAGAAAATGGGGTTTTATGGAGGAAAAATATGGGAAAATGGGATTTTATGGAAAAAATGGGGGTTTGTGGAGAAAAAAAGATGGAAAAATGGGATTTTATGGAGAAAATGGGGTTTTATAGAGGGAAAAGATGGAGAAAATGGGGTTTTATGGAAAAATGGGCTTTTGTGGATAACAATGGAGGGAAAAGGATTTTATGGGAAAAATGGGATTTTATGGATAAAAAGATGGAGGGAATGGGATTTTATGAGAAAAAAATGAAATTTTATGAAGGAAAAATTGAGGGAACATTATTTTATGGATTAAAAAATGGGGAAAATGGGATCTTAAGGTTAAAAACGTTGAGGGAATGGGATTTTACAGATGAAAAAAGTGGGGGAAATGGGATTTTGGGGATAAATCCAGTTTTATTTTATGGCTCCAGGTGGATTTGGGATCTGGAATCTGGAGGAAAAATTGGATTTTGAGGGAATTTGAAATTCCAAGTCCCCGTCGTCGCTCCCTGTGCCTCCCTGGGGGTAAAATCCTGATTTTTCCTGGGTATTATCCCAAATTTTCCCAATTCCCACCTTTCCTCGTGCTCCGGGAATTTGAGATTTGTTCCCATCCTAAAATCTGAGGTTGAGCCGGGCTTAACTCCAGGAATCGGGAAGGGTTTGGTGGCTCCAGTGTTGGAAAATCCCCTGGAAATATTCGGGATTGAATTCCAGAGCGGGTCAGGCACGGAAGGGGAGCAGAAATCCAAACAAAATCCTCCAAAAAAACAGAAAAAAAAAACAAAAAAAAAATCCCAAAAATGTCCCCAAAAAATCCAGGATTGAGCCGGATCTGCTGGCAATTCCCAGCAATTTTCCAAGATAAATCCAGAATTGGGAATCTTGGAACATTTTCATAATTTTTTAGAGTAATTTTAAGGAGTTTTCCATAAATTTGGGGGTTTTGTTGGAATTTCCCATCAATTTTTGGAGGTTTTTTTTGAATTTTTAGGCCTTAGGAATGGCAAAATCCAAGGAATTGGTGCTGAATTCTTCCCTGGATTTATCTTTTAAATCCTATTTATATCAGGTTTTTCCTGATTTTTGCCTGATTTTCCATCAAATCCACCAAAATTAACGGGATTGGGCTCATCCCAAATCCAGAACTTTAATTTTTCCAAAAAAAAATGGTGGTTGGAAGCAGAAAAACCTGGAAAAGGAATTTTTTGGGGATGACTTTCACTCCAAACCACCAAATCCAGGTTTTTTTCCCAAAACACTTTGATCTGCCCCAAATATTTTCCCAAAATTCATTGATTTTTTTGTTCATTTTTCCAAGATTTCCCAGCCTTGGAAGCAGCAATTCCTCACTCCCTCAAAAACCTGGAAAATCGGATCCGTTGGGTGTTTTGACGTAATAAAAGCCATAAAAGGACTCCAAAAATCTCTTTTTTCATGGAATTTTACCCCAGGATTTGGGAATTTGGATCCGTCCGGCGGCGTTTCGCTCTTTGGGTAGGAATAAATTCAGGATTTTGGGGAAAATTTGGGAGAAATCCCATAAATCCACGTGGCCATGGCTGGATTGGACTTCTCTGCCCCAAAATCACCTGGAAGTGACTTTTCCATCGATCCCGGATTTTATCCCCGTGGATTCGGGGTTGAAGGTTCATCCATGGGTTGGGCTGGGATCTCCAAAATCCAGGATGAACCTTCTGGGATCGTGATTCCAAATCAAACCCGACAGCCGGGGAGGAAGTTCGGGATCATCCTTGGGTTGAAATCCTCGGAATCTCCTTCTGGACCAGGAAATTCCAACTGGGAGCCAAAATCGGTGATGGAGTTTGGGATCGTCCTTGGGTTGGGATCTCCAAAATCCAGGATCATCCTTCTGGGAGCGCGATTCCGACTCCAATCCGACAGCCGGGGAGGATGTTTGGGGTTGAAATCTCTGGAATCTCCTTCTGGACCAGAAAATTCCAACTGGGACCCAAAATTGGTGATGAAATTCGGGATCATCCTTGGGTTGGGATCTCCAAAATCCAGGATCATCCTTCTGGACTTGAAAATTCCGGTTGGTGATGAAGGTTGGGATCATCTTTGGGATCTCCAAAATCCAGGATGAACCTTCTGGGAACACGATTCCGACTGAGACTCAACAACCGGTGAGGAAAGTTGGGATCATTCTTGGGTTGGGATCTCCAGGATCTCCAGGTGATCTCCATGGAACCCCACGATTCCGAGTGGGACCCAAAATCGGTGATGGAGTTCGGGATCGTCCTTGGGTTGAAATCCTTGGAATCTTCCAGACCAGAAAATTCCAACTGGGACCCAAAATCGGTGATGAAATTTCAGGATCATCCTTGGGTTGGGATCCCTGGAATCTTCTTTTGGACGTCGCGATTCCGACTGGGACCCGATAGCTGGGAATGAAGGTTGGGATCATCCTTGGGATCTCCAGAATCCAAGATGATCCTCCTGGGAATGCGATTCCAACTGGGATCAAACACCGGCAGAGGAATTTGGGATCATCTTTGGGTTGAAATCCTTGGAATCTCTTCTGGGAACGTGATTCCCACCGGGATCCAACACCGGCGATGAAGGTTGGGATCATCCTTGGGATCTCCAGAATCCAGGATGAACCTTCTGGGAATGCGATTCCCACCGGGATCCAACACCGGCGATGAAGGTTGAGATCATCCTTGGGTTGGATCTCCAGAATCCAGGATGAACCTTCTGGGAATGCGATTCCAACTGGGATCAAACACCGGCGAAGGAATTTGGGATCATCTTTGGGTTGAAATCCTTGGAATCTCTTCTGGGAACGCGATTCCCACCAGGATCCAACACTGGCGATGAAGGTTGGGATCATCCTTGGGATCTCCAGAATCCAGGATGAACCTTCTGGGAACGCGATTCCCACTGGGATCCAACACCGGCGAAGGAATTTGGGATCGTTTTGGATTAAAATTCTTGGAGTCTTCTTCTGGACGCCGTGATTCCAAGTTGGATCAACAATTGTTGATGAAGTTTGGGATCATCCTTGGGTTGAGATCTCCAAAATCCAGGATGATCCTCCTGGACCTCACAATTCCAGCTGGGACCCAACACCGGTAAAGGAATTTGGGATCATCTTTGGGTTGAAATCCTTGGGATTTTCTTTTGGATCTCGCGATTCCAACTGGGACCCGACCCCGGCGATGGAATTTGGGATCATCTTTGGGTTGAAATCCTTGGAATCTCTTCTTGGAACGCGATTCCAGCTGGGATCCAACACCGGCGATGAATTTTGCCGAGGTTCTCCCGCTGGAGCAGCGACATTCCCGGGATACCTGCTCCTGTTGAATCCATGGATTTTCTTGGCCGTTGGATCTTTTTCCAACAATTTTCCCTCCTTTATTTTTCTTTTTTTGGCGGCAGAATATCCAATCCCAGAAATCCCAGGGGAATTCCGGTCAATCCCGGGGGAATTCCTGCCTCGTTCCCGATCGGTGCCGTCGGGTTCATCCGGAGCCGTTCCCAAATTAATTTTCCTTCTTTTCCCGTTTATTTTTGGCAGAGATGGCGCCGAAGTTGAAGAAAAAAGGGCACTCGGGGCGGGAGCAGAAAAAGGTAGGATTGGGATGGGATTGGGATTAGATCTGTGGGATGGGATCTGTGGGGTGGGTTGGGATCCATGGATTGGGTTGGGATTGGGATTAGATCTGTGGGTTGGGATCTATGGATTGGGATGGGATTGGGATTAGATGTGTGGGTTGGGATCCGTGGGGTGGGTTGGGATCCATGGATTGGGATTGGATCCATGGATTGGGACTGGGATCAATAGATTTGGGTTTGGATTTGGATTGGATCCATTAATTGGGTTTGGGTTGGGTCCATGAATTGGGTTGGGATGGGATCCATGGATTGGAATGGAATCCATGGATTGGGATTGGGTTTGGGTTGGAACCATGGATTGGGACTGGGGTGGGATCGGTCATTTTGATGACCAAAGACCATTTTGGTGTCCCAACTCACGTTTAGGTGACCAAAAGATCATTTTGGCCTCCAAACCCACATTGAGATGACCAAAACACCATTTTGGTGTCCAAAGTCACATTTTGATGACCTAAAGACCATTTTGGTGTCCAAACTCACATTTTGATGATCAAAAGACCATTTTCGTGTCCAAACTCACACTTAGGTGACCAAAAGATCATTTTGGTCTCCAAACCCACATTTTGATGACCAAAAGATCATTTTGGTCTCCAAACCCTCATTGAGATGACCAAAAGACCATTTTGGTGTCCAAACCCACATTTTGATAACCAAAAGACCATTTTGGTGTCCAAACTCACATTTTGGTTGACCAAAAGACCATCTTGGTGTCCAAACCCACATTTTGATGACCAAAAGACCATCTTGGTCTCCAAACCCACATTGAGATGACCCAAGAGGTCGATTCGATGACCCAAATCACCAACTCCGGTGACCGACGAGAACATTTCGCCGACCCCAGGAGCTCATTCCCACGCCCAAACGCCCATTTGGACGCCGTCTCCACCCTTCCTAACTCCTCCTCTTCCAACAGCACCACCACCACCACCACCAGCCGCCGCCGCAGCCGCCGCCGGCGCCGCCGCAGCCCGCGCCGCCGGCGCTGCAGCCGCCGCAGCCGCCGCCCGTCCCGCAGCCCGCGGCGCCGCTGAAGGCGTCGCCGCCGCCGCCCTTCGTCGCCGCGCCGGTGCCCGTCCTGGAGCACCCCTTGCCGGGGACCATGTTCGACACCATGGCCCACTTCGGCCAACCCATCCTGCACCTGCCCCAGGCCGAGCTGCCCCCGCCCCACCTGCCCCCGGCGCCCGAGCACAGCCCCTCGCCCCACCTCAACCAGCACGTGGTGTCTCCTCCAGGTGAGCCGGGCACGGGCCTCGGCGTCCACCGTGGGCTCCTCGGGGTGTCCCGGGAGGATGAGGGCAGTGGTAGATGGAGGAAGGAGATTCTTGGGTCTTGGTGTCCACCATGGGCTCCTCGGGGTGTCCCGGGAGGATGAGGGCGGTGATAGATGGGGAAAGAGAGGTTCTTGGGTCTTGGTGTCCACCATCAGCTCCTCGGGGTGTCCCGGGAGGATGAGGGCGGTGGTAGATGGAGGAAGGAGGTTCTTCACTCTTGGTGTCCACCATCAGCTCCTCGGGGTGTCCCGGGAGGAACAGGATGGTGATAGATGGGCAAAGGGAGGTTCTTCACTCTTGGTGTCCACCATGGGCTCCTCGGGGTGTCCCGGGAGGAACAGGATGGTGATAGATGGGCAAAGGGAGGTTCTTCACTCTTGGTGTCCACCATGGGCTCCTTGGGGTGTCCCGGGAGGATGAGCGTGGTGGTAGATGGAGGAAAGGGAGGTTCTTCACTCTTGGGGTTCACCATCGGCTCCTCGGGGTGTCCCGGGAGGAACAGGATGGTGATAGATGGAGGAAAGGGAGGTTCTTCACTCTTGGTGTCCACCATCGGCTCCTCGGGGTGTCCCAAGAGGATGAGCATGGTGATAGATGGAGGAAAGGGAGGTTCTTCACTCTTGGGGTTCACCATGGGCTCCTCGGGGTGTCCCGGGAGGATGAGGATGGTGATAGATGGGCAAAGGGAGGTTCTTCACTCTTGGTGTCCACCATGGGCTCCTCGGGGTGTCCCGGGAGGAACAGGATGGTGGTAGATGGGCAAAGGGAGGTTCTTCACTCTTGGGGTTCACCATCAGCTCCTTGGGGTGTCCCGGGAGGAACAGGATGGTGATAGATGGAGGAAAGGGAGGTTCTTCACTCTTGGTGTTCACCATGGGTTTGTTGAGGTGTCCCAAGAGGAAGAGGATGAGGGTACAGAGGGGAAGAGGGAGGTTCTTGGGTCTTGGCGTCCCAAGCTCTCAGAGGAGGAGGGTGGTGGTGGGTGAGGTTGGTTCCATCTGGAAGGCGATGGGGTGGGATAGGGCGGTGATGGGCCACGCCCTGGAAGTTCTCCTGGCCCCACCACCGTGTGCTCCCTGGCACGTCCCAGAGGAAGGTGCTGATACCAGCTGGGACGGGAAGGTGCAGGGTGGCCCTGGAAGTTCTCCTGGTCCCACCACCGTGTGCTCCCTGGCACGTCCCAGAGGAAGGTGCTGATACCAGCTGGGACGGGAGG